ATTCATGCTATGCTCCGACCCTCAAACTTAAACCCTGAAGCAGTTTACCTTAACACCCTGTGCTTAAATCGCTACCCTGAATCCTCCTGCAACCTTAAAGCCCTAAGCCCCGAAGCACCAAATCCCTAACACCTAAACGCGGAAAAGGTTAAAGCGCTGAACTTGTCCTGATCCCACAATCACAAGCCCTAAACACCTTAGAAGCCCACACCCTGAAACCCCCAGCTGTGTGACCTCCACGCCCTCCTTCTTTGCCGCTTCTGCGATCCTTGGCAGCTTAAGGTGCGCCTGTTTAGGGTGGACATCACCCAATTGATCTACTTGCGCTTGTTGCGGGTTTTTGGGCTGTCGTGTTTTCGGTTGCAGCGGCTTGGTTTCACTTGCTGTAGCTGTAGAAGGTAAGAGAGAAGCTTGTTCCATCTTATCTCTGTACCTAGGACCTTAACATCCTGAACCGTTAGCCAACCCCGAGTAAAGGAAACGCACCACCTTGCAAGCGGCGAAGGTAATATAGGGGCCTTAATACTTAGAATAGGGTTTTGGGGCATACTATACTCTAATTACAAAAAGGAACCCCCAAAATAGTATTGGTAATTAGTTACGAACCTAGATTAAGCCGAATGAGATTCGCTGGATCTCTTCTTTTGGGCTTGACCAGGCTTCAGGATTTCAGGCTCAGTGTTTTGGGTGTGTGTTTAGGGTCTTGGTTTTTTTTGTATAGGGCTTAGAGTTTAATGGTTTGGGTGTGTAAGTGTTCAGTGGCTTAGGGGTTTAGGAATTAGGGTTCAGGGTTTAGGGTTCAGGGGCTTAGGGGCTTAGGGTTTAGGGTTTAATATTAGTGTTTTGGGGTGTGGAGGCCAGGGATTTCGAACGGCTTCAGGGTGTGCCCGTACATTGGTAACGTAGGGGCCTTGATTAGAATAGGGTTTTGGCGTACATTACAGTATAACTGACTAAAATAAGAACTCCCCCAAAATAGTATAGGTAATCATTAAAGCTCCTGCATTAGAGGCTTGATCAGGCTTGGTCATTCCGACCGAGTGACAGAGCCGAAGTCAGACCACAAACTTCCTTCTCCATTCCCAAGGGATGATAAGTTCAAAGATCCGGAGTAGCTTACACAGGCCCAAAACTTATAACTCTCCACCCTGAACCCTGGGTTTTTGGGCCCCGGAAAACAACAGCCACCCGAGGCGAGAAGCGTATCGGCCATCTTTTTGATATGCCCATACCTCGGCGGCTCAAGGGTTCTTCGAGTTCAGGGCCCCAGCCAGAAAACCAAAAACCATAGCCCACCTCGGTTCCGGAAACAAGGTTCGGGCTTAGACTTTCCTTCAGGGTTCGTATGAAGTTTACGGCTTACGGCCTTACGGTTTATAGTCTGAGGGCGGCAGCCTTGCGACTTGCAAGGTATCGGAAGACTGGCAGCTTCGGCCATCAGAGTTTGCCGAATTCGCAGACATTGCAGGCAGATATAGATGATGGCACTTGGATGGCTTCTCTAAGGGTCACGATGTGTAAGAGATGAGCCAATATGATCAGTCAAAATGACCGGATGGCAATGATGTTGTAACGATATCTAGGACACGGACATGTCTTCCAGCACGTGCTAACCTGCTTCGGAGAAAATGTGCTCCCAAGGCCCTGTTGAACCCCAGAACCTGTACACCCTAAATGGGCCCCTATCTAAGCCCTAAACCGCTGGCCCATGACCCCAAGTCCAGCGTGGACCGAAGTTGCATGGAGTAGTAGACAATGGCCATTTTGGCCGTCTTCTTGGGCGTCTCCTGCTTCGAGCGCTTCACGACACCCGCAAACCTGCGGCGTGGCGCTAAGGGTGGGCGGTGTGCACTTGCTTGGCTACAAAGAGCCCTTTATTCTCGGTAGAGGGTCTGGCTTCAGGGAGCAAGAGTGGCAGGTCAACAGCAGAAGTGGTTCATTCAGAACGAGCAGAAGCACGTATTGAATCCCGATGACCCCGGAAGACACTTGGCATGTCCCTGCCCAACCGCCGAGTGCAACCCCGACATAAGATCGTAGCGCATGTGGATGACTGAGTCTCTGAGTCCGTCAACTCAACGGCTTTCCGTTTCAAAGAGCTCAGGCTGCAAGTGGCTTTAGCTTCTGGTGATGGGAGTGATAATCTAGAGACCTCCATCGCAGCCCAGACACCGATCCGCAAACCGGCTCATTTTCAGGAGTTCTTGGGGCCGAGGGGCGCTTCGGCATGGGCCTTGACAATCTTCTTCTCCCCCTCTGAGGGCATTCGACTGCCATCACCGTTGGCGATTGTGCTCGCCCCCCAAGGGCTGCCGCCACCCACCTCTCAGCTTTCCAATATTTTTCTGAGTAGTGTACGTGTTGCTAGGAACGCAAACTTGAACTGTGTTAATGTTCATGCCGTTCATGCATCTCTCGGCAAACCAAACGACATTAGCAGCAGCGAGAGAAACAGGAGCAGTATTGGTGGTGGTGGTGGTGGTGGTGGTGGTGGTGGTGGTGGTGGTGGTGGTGGTGGCGGTGGTGGTGGTGGTGGTTGCAATCGCGTCGGTAGTGGTAGCAGTCGTATCGTTGGTACTGGGCGTCGCTGTTGTTGTCGCAGGTGTACGAGCAGGAACATGACAGCGAGCACATCTGTCCGGCCGAGACTTTACGTAACTTGGTGAGTACACAAACCACGGCAAGAATTTGCAGAAACACGCTCATCTGATCCAGTTCAAGCGGTCGCACCAGGAGTACCGCTTTGGAGCCTGCCGATCCGAAATTAGTCGTTGGATTTCAGACTAAAGGTCAGCTGCAGAGTCAAGGCATGTGCCACATGCTAAAATGCTGCAGCGGCAGAAAATACCAGCCGATCACGCACTGAAGAGGAGCACTTCCTCAAGCTTGGAGATGGTTATGCAAAGATGCAAAAAGCCTTGGAATTTAGATGACCGCTACATAGATCGACGGGACCCTAAGTCAGAACCTTATATAGTAGGATTCTCATTACATGAGGACCCCCGAAACAAGGTACCCCTAGTTTTCTGGAACCTTGAACCTTCACCCTAAGCATGTATGGCATCCTCGTTGAATACTTCTAGAATCCTGGCTGAACCCTCTTGGAATCCTCACAGACGTCTTGTCGAACTCATTGAAGAACTCAATGTAGAACCTCTCTGGAAACTAACAAGGCACACCTAGAAGACCCCAAATCATTCAAAACCGAAACCATAAAACCTCTAACCTCCAAGGAACCCTAAACCCGAAACCCTAAACCCTAAAACCTCCAACCTTAAAGGAACCCGAGAGACGGAACCCTTTCTAAGGAACCCCTGGTGGTTTCTGAACCCCCCCACCTCCCCCCCTCCCCGTGTGGATCGCAAGTCGAAACCAGGCCGCCTCCATTTTGAATTGCTCCTGCGCTCTCAAGTAGCCAAGGGAAACGGGGTTCTTATAGGCTAGAAGGGGCCAAACGAGACGAGAACAGTAGGCACAGGGTCCATAGGGCTTAGGTCCGGGTCCTTTCAGCTTTTCGGATGTTGCCGTTTCGGGTTGTTTGTTTAGGGTTTGGGGTTTAGGGCATCTCTGGGATGTTAAACGAGTACCAGGGCTCCTCACCGCAGCGGTATCCAAGGGGAACGTAGCAGAGGCCATGGTGGACCAGGGAACTGACTGTCTGCAAGTGCGTCGTCTCTTGTCCTCCCAGGTTTAGGGTTTACGGTTTGCGGTTTGGGGGTCTAGGCTGTTGGCTTTTAGGGTTTAGGGTTTGGGGTTTCCGTCAGGGTTTAGGAGGGTTGGGGTTTCAGGAGCCTCAGGGCATGAAACCAGTGAACGCGTAGATGCTGGAGATCAGAATGCAGGAGCAGCTCCAGAATAAGCCAGCCCTAATGTAGACCAAGCTAGTAGGATCTTCACGCCAAAGCTCTTTGATTCTCTGAAACCTCTCATACAGGGGCCTTAATAATTACAACAGGGTTTGTGGGGTCCTTTTGTACTATAATCATAAAAAGGAGCTCCCAAAATAGTATTGGTAGTTATTCAGGCCCCTACACCACGTGATTCCCAATTTCGTTGTAGATATGCAGCTTAACCAAAGGTTCGATCTCCAAGGCTTTCTGTGGCCTTGGACACCTCAAGGCCCTAAGGACCTGAGCTTCGAGCTTTTCGGCACATACGGTTGATGATAGAAATCCTGCATTACCCCAGAGTTTGGCCTATACCATCACTCCTGTAGTTTCGGGTCCGTAAGGTGATGCAGGATTTATAGCATCAACGGTAAGGCTGCTGGACCCTTCTTAAACTTAGCCTTATAGGATCTGGGTCTACTGTTTTTTGCTTCAAGTGTCACGGCTTGACGCGCCAAAACGGAACCGAAGTTAGCTACGCGATCATGACCGGTTCAGCAGACGGCACCTCTGCCTCGAAGTTCCAAGCCTCGTCTGGCGCCTAGCCCTCTTAAGGGAGGAGGGCATGTATGGGGGTTTCCGAAAATAGGGGACCCTACTGTAGTACCCTAAATAGTAGGATCCTTACTATAAGGCCCCCAAAATAAGGTACCCCTAATTTTTGGAAACTCCCGTATCAGTGGGCTACGTGCAAGGAACTCCAACTCAATGTCTGAGTCCAGCTCGCCCAAACCCGAAGATAACTTTTATCAGCAAACCCCAAGCCTCTCAAATCCTCGAAACGAGTCCTCCGTTCTGCGTCCCGGTGCTTACAATCATTGTGGCCATCTTTCCGGACAGCTTCTGGGCCATCCAGAGGCCACCAGTGCTGTCAAAGAATGACCTGTTCGGCACAGTAAACCCGGACCCCCTAACCCTGCATAAACCTAAGCATTGAACCTGGATCCTATAATACCACCCAAAATCCTAAATCCGCAACCCTAAATCCCAGCATTCAGGGTTTGAATTACAAGCCCTAAGCTTTAACTTGGCGCTCGAGGTTTGGGGGTTAAGGGTTTAGGGTTCATAGTATTTAATATGGTTACGTAAGGGCTTTCGGAGGCCGTCGTTTGTTCACACCTCTATCTCACCCGGACTAAGCACCGCGCTACCTTAGAACAGGTTCGAATTTTACGGCTCTTACATCAGGGTTCTGCAGTACAAAAGCCTACAAGACATACATGTCCCACATACAGCCCCACAGAGCCCTAAGTTCGCTCTCTTGACCCTTAAGCCCTAAATGTTTAAACCTTTCAAGTTAGGTCCCTAAACCCTAAACCCAAAGCCCAAGAACAGTCAAGGAGCTTGATTTGGCCGCACATGTTTCCGAAACGCGTCGGAACGCCAAAGACGAAGCCGTCGTACTCCTTGGACCAGGTCGAGGGAAGAATGCGCGAAAGGGTCTATAGGGCTCCTCTGACTCTAAGGGTTCCCTCAATGAGTTTATAATGGCAATATCAAGGTTTAGAGTCTTAGGCTTGAGGATGGTAGAGTGTAGGGGTTTCGGAGTGGGGTTCAGGGTGCTACTGTTTGAAAGTTTTTTTAAAGGAGCATGCCTAGAAGGTGTACGCAAGGGATCTGGACAATGCGCCAACGACTGGTATCCTAAACTTGGTAGCTGTTCAAGGTACCTTTTTACCGAAATCGCCTTAATTCCTGTCCTCTTTACGTGCAATGTGTGGTTTCCTCGTTCGCCAGCGGCCTTCCTGCAAGTCCAGACAATATAATGATGAGGTCGCCTGGGCAGGCGCAAAATCTGCGATCGTCGGGAAGGGACAGAGTGAGTTAGTATTTATGTGCATCATCCCAAAACACCATATGTTCGCCTTCAGGGCTCTAGACGCCGATTTGGAGATTGCTCTATGAGCAATTCCAATATTGCACATTACACATACTAAAGTGTCAAGGCAACTAAATGAAAATAATACATGCACGTGGCTTTCAGTTTTACGCGCTGTTGTCATGCATTTCACACAGGAAAGGCTCTACAAGTACCTAGCTTATGGGGAAGTGTATTCAAATGGCCCGTCCTCAAGCAACCCTCTCTGCATGATGCTTTTCGAAAATTAGGGGTTGAGGGTTTAGGGTAGAATAGCAAAACCGTACCGCTTACCCTTGATACCAACCCTGGCCCCTCATGCAACAAACCCAACACCCGAAACTACGCTCCAAACCCCATAAAGCCCCATACTACAGAAACCATTACTGCAAACTGACACAGCAGCAACGTCATTACAGTTTCTGTAAAAATCTGTATAAACTAGGAAGACATATTTATGACTCTCTAGCGCTCTCCTCAAAATATATATAGCCTTAGCCGTAAAGCCCAAAACCTAAAGACTCAAAACCCAACCCTCAAGCCCTACACCCTATAGACCCCAACCCAAAGCCCTAAACTCATGACTGCCGAGATGCGGGGAGCAACGAGCCAATGCTGGCATGGTCCAAAGTCATGATGTCACCGGGCTTTGCGGGAGCACCCATAGCTTTGAGAGCCTGATGCCACACAAATAATTCATATGATTAACAGTTTTGCATATTACTAATATTGCGACTAAGTATACGCATAACAAGAATACGCATAATCGCAATAATCACCCTAATATACTTAATAACTTAATATGTTGGGTTTCCCGTTTGATGCAGGCCCTTTCCTCCCAGCCTGTCGGGTCTAGGCTGCAGAGCTTCCGAAAAGGATACTTCCCCAGAGGCTCCATATATGATCCCGGTTCGGCCGGCCCCCCCCCCCTCCCCCCCCCAATGGTTCCTCCTCCCCCTCCCTGTGGTGTGGGGTGGTTGTGGGTTGCTTCCCCCTCCCTGCTGTGGTGGTGTCTTGTGGTTGGGGAG